GTGCCGCCGGGATTGGCTGTGCGCAGGGAGCAGGGTGGCGACCAAAATGGCTGACTTAATGAACTGAGCTGGAAATCCAGGCTCATGTGATCGCCTGCGATTCCCAGGATGCTGCCGAGACGCTGCTGATGCGGGGCCGGCAGTCAGGCGCTCCTCGGCACGGCAGCTCCTGTGCCAGCCCGCTTGGGAGCGAGCGGAGCTCCGCCGCACCCCCCATCCATCGCCCCCGGAATACAAAGGAGCAGCGCCAGCAATACAAAGGCACATTTGTATTCCGCTCACATCCCTGCATGCCGCTACACTAATTCAATCGGCACCTTTGTTTCCACGCGAGGTGTGCGAGGCGCAGTCTGCGTTTTATTCGCTGTGCCACCTTCTCAGGGGGCACCTTGGAGCTAGAATTTCCCATGTACAAAAAATGTTAGGATGGATTTATTGTCTCAGGGTAACAGGAGGGAAAAATGATCTGGCTCTAAGCACTCCAGTGACTGAGGATGAAGCTCTTTCAGCAGGGCATGTGCACATGGAAGGACAATAAAGGAGAACACCACAAACACTGTGACCCAATCTTATAATTGAAAAATCTCCCCTGAAAATTGTGCTGCTCACATGAGGCTGACAAAGAAATCTTGTCTCTCAGCAGGAAGAGAAACAGGCTTTCAGGTTCTAAACAAGAATATAATAATATTCCCTGTCCCTTCCTAGCTGGCTGAACCTCACCTGTGCCCCAAGCAACATGGTCCTGATGCTGGGGGACAAGAGATCCCAAGTCACCAGACAGGCTTCTCATTCCCAGGGTGGCTACAGTGTCACCACCCACTTCAACAACGCTATCAGGCACCAATAAATGAGCCTATCCGACTTCATTCCTGTGTGGCTCCAATATATTTGAGGAGAGCAGATGTAAAATATCCATCAGAAATGGATGGAGAGTCAGCCTTGGAGAAGGCTGTCACCAGAACAAGTGGTCAATGTACGGGAGCTTGATTACTGTCCCTGCTTTTTGTTCCCCTAAGAAATATTCAGAGGGATGTACATCTGTTTCTTGGGCATGTGAAATGCCAAAACAGAATGTTGGATACAGAATTCAGCATGCTAATGCGTATAGCTTTCAGAAAAAAACGGCACCCATCATGTACATGCCTCATAAAGCTGGGCAAGAGGATTAAGAGCTGTTATTTCTGACTGTTGAGAGGAAGCAGCTACTTTTGGTGAAAATTTCCTGCTTAGTGCAGTACATTTTGACTCAGCAACTCTTTCCCCATTAGGCCAAACCCAAGCAAGCACGAGGCAGCCTGTTCTGACAGCGACGCAAAGGGCAATTATTTCACAGAAAACAAGAATTACTTTTGTTTCTTCTCCCCAAGAGAACAGAGTTCATAAATCCTGCTGACAGCATCTTAACTCGTATATTTATACACCCTTTCAGCAGTCACAGTCTCTAGCTGCAGCATCCACACCACATCACCCCAAAGTCTAAACACAGTGAAAGTGGCCATTACAAACTGCTAAAGAACAGCTGCTGACCCTGACTAACCCTTGGACAGGGTCTAAACAAACGGCACACGCTCAAAACAAACCCTTTAGAATCAACAAAGCACCATAAGCTATTGCTCAAGCTATTATCCAACACATCTCACCAGTTTAATTTCTTTGTTTTCAAAGCAATTAGAGACACCAACAGCACAGGGCGTAACCCTGCAGCTCCCATTTCACAACGCGGGTCTTCAGCTGAACTCAGCACAAGCAAGTGCCCCGCACATCAGGATCCCAGGGAAGGTCTGCTAAAAAAATCAGGAACCGTTCAACTTCCATTGGTCCGCTTTGAACATGTAGAAAGAACAGAAGCCAGTAATCCCCTTCCAGCTGAGTTCTATTTTCAGGCTCCTTTATGCAATGATCTTGCTGCAAGTACTCCACAGAGATATTTAAAGTACTAGGAAAATGTTCTTTAACTTTTACTTATTTCCAAAAACGGAAAAAAAAAAAAAACACAACAAAAAAACCCAAATAGGAACTGTTTAACTGATGACTTGTTACCTTTTAATCACCACCTGAAAACCACAAGACAAACCTTCTACCCTCATCCTGTGCCCCAAAGTGATAAAAGCAACAAAGCATCTCAAGAAGAAATGAAAGAAATGTATCAAATAAAATGTTTTCATAAAACCTTTCATACAACTACCAGGCAACTCAAGGGTACCTGATAAGGCTCCATCAGGGTTCCAGGATGGCCACGGACAGAAATCACGGATAAATGCAGAGGAGGTTGTGCAGGATGAACCTCTTTCTCCATCTCAAACCCGTCAGGCAGCCTTGACTGGTCCTACAAACCCTCCTGCGAGCTACACTTTGGCACAAGCCCTTAGAGGCTTGGGCTAGATTGCAAAACACAGCAGGGGTCTGCCAGAACATTTTTAAGATTAAGGAACTGACTGCACTGGAATTTTAAGACCAACCACCTGAACACCAAGCACTCCATCACCCACCAGTATTTGGGAGCTCAGCTGTACTGCAAAGTATTTTGAGTTTCAAAGCTGAATGAATTAGACCAATCTACGCAAAGAAACCCAAACAAATTTCCAAATCACCCTCAGGAATCCAGGGAGTATCTTTGGGTGCACTTTTATTTTCAAAGCCTGTGAGCAATCTGTGCTTCCATCATGAGGAGAAAGTTTTCTCCCTCTCTATGTACAGATTGCAAAGCAAAAAGGACAAAGCCATCTCTGACATGGAATGTAATCTAAAAAGATAAAATTAGCAACACAGCATCTACATTGCAAAGTCTGCTTCTGATTGCTCTGCCAGAACAGATACGCACATTACCTCAAATACCAGCTACTCCCAACCCTGCAAGCTCAAACAGGAATGGGCAAAAAGAACTTCAACAACTAAAAAAAGTAGTAACTATTTCTTAATTAAGAAGTGACACACAAATTTGACTTTCCATACTGTGAAACACTGAGATATTATTTAAGGATTGAAGTAACTCTTATAATTGAAGGAAAGGGAAGGAAAAGCCTACTTCAAGTACCATGGTATTGGGCAGGCTTTCAGCGAGAACAAGGAGAGGTCTGGGTTTTGGTTTAGCGGTTTTTTTAAGGACTGCCTAATCAAGTTGCTTTTATTCTGTTTTAAGGTTTTAAACAGGTCAGCATGTTTAAGTGCATAATCTTGCTCCTTCTGTCTGGAACCACCTGTAACACGCAGGCAGGTGCTACTGCCATTAAGAGCTTTTGCAGTCTCCTTCCCTAAGCAACTCTGGCCTTCACCTGACGTTTGGAATCAGGTGAGAATACAACAGAATAGTTCAAGGATTGAGTTGTAACAGGAAAAAAAAAGACTTGAAATAAACCTCCAAAATACTGTGAAATACTGACTTTTTGGTGTAGTGGCCACTGCCTCCCTGTAACACCTAAGACTGCAATAGAACTGCTCCTGCTGCTCCGTGGGAACAAATGAAAGATGCTCTTCGAAATGTGAGAACTGGAAAAAACCACAACAAGAGAAAAGAGATGGTGGGAAAAAGGGATTTACTGACAGAGTTTGCCCCAGAAGAAACAGAGTCCAAGACACCATGCAAATAGAGGCTGATTTCTGCTCCCTTTAGACACTGTTATCACTGCATCAGTCAGCCCTGAGTGAGCTGTGACACTCAAAACTACACAGGCAGCTCCACCTCCATGGCTCACAAAAACAAGGGAACTTTTATATGCATCTTGTAAAGGGTTTTCACAAAGCTTACATGAACAATCACTGCAGAATAAAGCTGACACAGGATAAAGCATTGCTCAACTACTGAATTTCTCCACTAAGTCCCTGAGCACAAATGTGCTCATCTCAATGCTTCAGTTTCCTCACATCCAGAGATGAGCTTCTCACAAAGTTTGAACAGCTAAGATGAAATATTTTTTCTGTAAGTCTTCTATCAGAAGTAGCTCAATTCCTTGCATACACATCACAGGGTTTACTATGGGTAAAGATCTCCTGATTCGGGAAAAATTATAAGTAAAACTGAAGATTTTGACAGGGGCCTGTCATTTCAAGCAACAATTCAGCAGAGAGGGACTTGGGACATAAGTTGGCAGTCACAGACAGTCCTTCACAGAGCTCAGAGCAAAGTCAGGGCATTTCACCTCCTCTTGGCATTACAGACATGGACTTCTTACCTCACTGATTCTAGCTCTGCTGAGTAATGCCTTCAAGTACATCAGTTTCCAAAGGAGAAAAAAAAACAGATACTCAGCCCAAACAAATCAGCTCCTGAGTGAGTGAATGATCACCTGGGACAGGAGGTGACAAAGCAAAGGCCAAAAGCTCAGTCACACACACTCTGGCAGCAACCCAGAGGATGAAGCTACTGGTTATTTTTAGGATGGATAGAAGAGAGATCTCTTCTATATGTACCCATGTGTGTACTTATTTGATTTTAAAACACCCCCAAGTACTTCAGAGTACTCCAGCTTCCAGAAATACACCACGAGAACATCATAAAGAATCTTACAAAGGACAACGTTATTTGCCACCCAACACGCCCCACACAGCGATGCACTTCAGCCTCTTCTGGTCTCCAGCGTGCAGTGCCCTCACCACGGATTTGTTCGCCGCACCAACACCAGGAGGAAGCGTGAGAGGGTGCTCCCCATCCCCTAAACTACAGCCCGCGTGTCCAGGGCAGCCTGTTGGATTTCCAAGGGCGGCACCGATGCTCCTCAAAGGGCTCTCTCTGTGGGGCTGCTTTTGCTGAGCTGCTGGGCCAGCACGGCTCACATCCCTCCCCCGACCGCCTCCTTCCCAGCCCCACCACCCTTCCCGGCGGCGGGAGCCCCGCGGGGCAGGGGCAGCTTTGGGGCGGGCGCCCCGAGAGCCGCAAGCCGCCCGGGCGGAGCGCTCGGGCCAGAGGCACTCCGGGAGGGGAGCGGCGCCCGGGGACCCCCGGCCCGCCGCCCGCCCCGCCTCGAGGGAGGCTCCCGGCCCGGGAGCAGCCCGGTCGTACTCACGGGCTCCGTCCGGCCCCGGGTAGCTCAGCACCAGCACGGGCAGCGCGGCCCCGCCGCGGGGCGCCGGGGGTCTCCACAGCCCGGGCTGCGCGGCCGCGGCGCCGCCTCCATGGCCGGGGTAGAGGAGGAAGAACGGCGGCGAGGCAGGGCGCGCCTCCTCCTCCTCCTCCGCTGCTGCCGCCGCCTCCTCGGGCTCGGGCCGCCGCTCCATGCCGGGGGACAGCTCCGCTTCGGCCCCGTCCCGGGAACTTTCCGCCAGCGGCGGCGGCGCTGCCCGCTCCGCCTCCGCCATCGCCGCCCCAGCCCCGCCCCGCCCCGGCCGGGAAGCGCCGCGGCCGCCACAGCCCCCGCCCCCGGAGCTCCCCCCGCACCGCCGGGGAGCGCCTCGCCCCGGCAGGTGACAGCCGCCCCACCTCGGATGGTGCAGGGGCTCTCACCTGTCAAGCAAAGCCGGGGCACCATCTCTGCCTCTTCTCGGCTTTCCCCGCGTGAGAGCTCATGGACAGCAGCGTTTGGAGATCCCGGGACAAAAGGGGACAAAGTCCAAGCATATTCTTTAGTATTAAAACTGCCAAATACAGCGTACTACTGGGAATTTCACTTGGGATGTTCTTCCAGAAGACAAGGTAATTAATGTGGGCTGTGGTGCTGTCAGCAGGCAGGAAGCACATAAATCTGCCCATTTTTAAAGAACACCCTAACTTTCCATGCACTTGAGTTAAGTTAAAACAGAGTCTGTTTCTTTCAAACTCTCACATTAAAATGGCAAGCGTAAAGCTGTAAAGGCTACTGATTCCGGGAGACTGATTTCTCAGCACTGCCCCAAGTCATGCAACATGTTGCAACTAATTGAACAGATGCTTTAATCCACTTTACAAATATTACAGCTGAATGTTGGAATTTCTACGTGCTAACGAGTAAAACAAAACCATGTGTGTGATGGAATATTATGGAACACAGCTAGGAAAACGCACACAGCTGGGAAAACCTTGACAAAAATCTAAGGCAGGAGGAAATGTATTTCCATGTGAGTTATTCAGTATTATTGTCCTTGCCCTGTATACATAGAAATTTCAGGTTGTGATGCAGAAAGCATTATGCCCCTCTCTACTACGGTACATTTTTGCCCAAGCTTCCAAAGGCACTCAGTCTTACTCTGTATGCTCATCACCCTCCAATGATTATGTCTTCCAAGTGCAGAAAAACAAAGGAATAGCCCATACCTTGAAGCTTTCTACACTTTGCCTATGTCAGTTTAAATATGAATCATTTATGTGCAGATGTGGCAGGACTGACTGTCCTTTGGATTACTGTGCTCCAAGGGAGCGAGTGGAAAGGACCCAGGGCAGGCCCTTCCATTGCTGTGAGGGTGACAGAGGTGAGACAAAGCTGTTACCTGAGGTGTGTCCCCCTGCTTTAGGTGCTGCCAGTCCTCTCCAAGCAGGACCCTGGCAAGGACAAGTGCCATCTCATGGCTGAAGCATTTCTTGGCAGTGTCAGCACGTTCTCCAGAAGCAGTACTGGAAAGGGGAAAAAGCAGCATTAACCAGGATTTTGATCCACTCCTTGCTTCTTTTCCTGATTACCTGTGGTCCTTGCCTGATTTCACATGTCCATTTTCACAGGGATTTTCAAAACCTGTTCACCACCAGGAATTTCCCTTCAGCACAAAACGTTACTCCAAGTACTTCCTAGAGACGCTGTACAGGGTCCCCCCCCTCCCAAAGCATCAGTAATCACAGCATTCCCATGATCAGCCATACATAAAAGCATATGGGAATTATGTTTATGGCTTTGTCCAGTCTCTGAACTAATCAAGTGGACATAATGCCTGGTTAATCTTCATTAACCCAGCAGCTGCCATCTGCCAGCAGTGTTTCTCTCCGGCCTTCAGCCTAATCCCAGAGCTGCTGGGGAATGTGTCTGTAAGGCCACACCAATTTGTTGTATTATTTACTGCTCAATTACAAGTCACCCGATTTGTGCTTGCCAGCTGCCCAAGGAAGCACAAAGCCAGACCCATGAAAGACAGCTCTTCATTTTTGCATCAAGTGTGAAACATGCACAAGCAGGTTCTGTAGTAATGAGATCAGGGAGCAACACTGCTGGCTATTTTGTGATGCCTGTTACACAATACCATCCCTCCCCAGAAAAAACACCTAAGCTGCTTTTTTTGCCCAGCATCTTACCTCAGTCTGACCTCTTGGCAGAGCCTCCAGAGTATAGTTCACCTTTATCAGAGGCAGTCTCCAATCATGATCCCAGTGGGGATGGGGAAATTGTGCTTCCCACCTCAGCAAGGCTGAAACCCTTCTCCCTGGGAAGGAGCAGCTTGACCTGGGAAGGAGTTGCTCATAGTAAGGGCAGTTCCCCCAAGACAGGACTGTTCCTATCTGTCCAGCTTAAGCTTATTGTGTTTCTACCTCTCCCTTCAACAAACAGCCTGGAAGATTACCAAAATATTCTCCAGCCAGCAGTGAACAGTGTGTTCCTGATAGAAACAGGCCTGGGGTGTTAAGGTTTACACAGGAGCCCCACAAAGCACATTTCACTTTCAGAGCACAAGCAGAGCACCTACATGCTTGTATTACAGAACCTGGCTTGCCACTGGATCAAGAGCACACACTTGTCTCTCGGCTTCCCCATGACCATCACACACACAAAACACCCTCATAAGATGCAATCACAGTACTAAATAAAGCAAATACTCTCCTGAAATATTTTTTTATGGAAAACAAATACCTTTCAGATGGTATGGTACACAAACCAAGGCATGGGCTCCCTGAAACCTGCCCCAGATACAAGCTCAGGTTCTACCTGAGACAGGTTTTGTTAAACTTCAGAAAAATTATCACTCACTCCTTCACAGCCCGGATTGGACCTGACCACTCATAATCAGCTCTTGGCAAGCACTTCAGTGTGGGGTTAAAATGCATTTACCCACACCAAAAAGCATGGCAATAATCACAACACCCTCAGAGTTTACCTGCCCATAACGCCTTCACCATCTGTAAGGTGGTCCTGCAGCAATGCTACTTAGTCCTGTAGCAGCAGACAACATTTAATATTTATCATAGGAGAAGTTAATATGGCTATCACATACATGGTTACAAAATCTAGACAAGTCCTTGTTTTGCTTCTCACTGAATTCAGGAAGGGAAACAGTATTTCAGACCATGTGAGACTAAGTAATTTAAAAGAAATACCCATACTTTTTAAGCGCTAACAAAGGTGTTAATCAGAACAAAAATTAACTACTATTAAACAAGTCTGTGCAGCTCAATGCAGGAACAGCATGGACCAGGACTAGAAGCAAAATAGAGTAGGCCAGCGGCAGCTGCTGAACCCCTTTCCCAACCCACCCTCAAGAGGTCCATCCATCCAATCCCATCTCCCCACCAGTCCCATTTAATTCCTTTTGCCTGATACTTTCCCTGCAAACTCTCAAGGCTTCCTGATTAGGGAAACACAACAGCATCACAACAGAGGAAAAAACCTTCAGATATGGGTAAGGTGTGCAAAGGGCCCTGTGCCGCTTGGAGATGGCACCTTCTGAAAAACCAAATACCACCCACCTTCCTTAAGAACAAACCCCACAACACCGTGTATAAAATTTTTATTGGACTCAGTACTGCTACTTGCAGCTCTTACAAAAAGATGACTTTCACTTAAGCTTCCTGCTTTTCTTAACCCCGGCCCGAATGCCAGAGTGTTCCCCGTCATATCTGTGCAGCTCCCTCCGGACCTCGCGGACCTGGCCCTTGCGGCGGATTTTGGCTCGCCGGAATTTCTCCCGATGCTTGACGCGGGGGTTGCGGTCGATCTTCCTCCTCTTGGGCGTGAGGCCTTTGTTCTTGATCATCTGATAGGTAACCCCTCTCTTTTTATTAGGATCCTCTCCTTCTGACACCGCTGCTTCTTCAAGCACATCTTCATCTCCAGTTCTCTTCCTCTTGAGTGCCAGCTTCTCCTCCATCATTTTGTAGTATTTTAGGGCCGCTTCCTCATCCAGCTCTGACTCATCCGACGACTCGTCAGCAGCAGCCTGGCCATTAACAGGCACAGAGGCACGTTTAGGTTTGTTTTTGGTGCCATTCATGGTGAGAAAAACTGAAAATTTGTTTTCCTTCCGTAGCTTCTCTTCCTTTTTGTCATAGTAGTTCCTCAGAAGCATACGAACCTGTGGGGAAAGCTTTTGGTCTATGACAGCGAGGTCGTTGATGATATTTCTGTACTCCACCAGCCGTTCAATGACTGGGTGACTATGAACTGGCATCCTCTTGGACTTGAGAACCAGATAGAAACTAATATTGGCACAGTAGTTCAGGTAGAGATGATACTTGGTCTGCAAATAGCGACTGCCCTTCCCCTGGGGGATAGTGCCATCTCTGACCATTTGCAGCAGTGGGTGCAGCTCATCCTTGATCTCCATGAGCTTCACCTCAAAGTCCTCCATCAGCTGCAGGAGTTCTGGGGACTCCTGCTTCAGCAGCTTCAGCTGCTCCTTCTTGGAAAGGGCCTGCAGATCCTTATCAATTTTCTGCCCCTTGCTATCATGGCCTTTCTGCTGCTTAGCCAGGTAGCCCTGGATCATGTCCAGACCATAATCATCCTCCCCCAAATCCCGCACCAACCGTCTCTGGATGACTTGAGCCTCCTGCTCCTCTTCCTCCTCCTCAGCATCGATTTCTTGCTGGCTCCGCTTGCCCTTGGCCTGGGCATCATTCCCATAGTCCGTGTCATAGTAGAGCTGCTTGCGCTGGCCCCAGGAGAGCTCATGGGGGACCTTGGCTTCGGGATGGCGCTCCTCCAAGTCACTTTCCATGGACAGGTTCCCCTCTTCATCCTCAACATCATTTTCATCTTCCTCACCTCCTTCCTCCTCTCCATCTTCAATATCATTCTCATCTTCCTCACCTTCTTCATCTTCTCCATCATCTTCCTCTGCGCTGTACTCCACAAAAGGATTCCGCTCCTGCATCTCCTCCTCCTCATCCTCCTCCTCCTCCTCGCTGTCCTCGGGCACCTGCAGACCCAGCACCTCCTCCTCCTCCTCCTCTTCGTCCCCGGCCTCGTCGCCGCTGTCCAGGGCGGCCATCACGGCGCGGAACCGCTCCTCGTGGAAGCGCTCCACATCATCCGCCAGCTCCTCGGGGCCGGCGCGGCCGCCGGGCACCTCGGCGGGGTCATCGGCGGGTTCATCGCTGGGCTGGGCCCGCGGCCGCAGGACGGTGCCGCGCCGGGTCCGCATGGCTGCACCGCCACCGCCGCGCTTCCCCTTCCGCCGCGTCCCTTCCGCTCGCT